AGTCCTCTCTTTCTTAGGTAGGGTCCCTAATTACTTTAACAAACAGTACTGTTTCTCTCTTTCATGCAGAGAATGTTACCATTCACCTGGCACTATTCTGGATGCCAATGATATAACAGAATAATACCTACATGCTAGTGGGAAGAAAAATCATTACAATTCAACAATGAGGTCTACTAAAGGCATATTGCACGCAGGAAGGAAAGGCACACTCTAGGCAGGAGAAAATACTCAGAAGTCACGGTCGTGTGAAAGGACTTGGTGTGTCTGGGAGCAGTAAATAATCCAGTGTCCAAAACATTCCAAAAAATGTAGACTGAACATCTACACATGCTGGGCACACAGAGGTGACTGATTACATTGCAATGTGGCAAGTGCCGTCACTAAGGTATGCCCTGCTGGGGTGGAGGCAGGTCAGGGTCGGCTTTCTGCAGGAGATGCTGTGTGAACTGAGTCTTAGTGTTACAAGAACACCCTGTTTTAGGGGAGGTAGGGAAGACAGGACCAAGAAGAAAGATCCAGAAATTTACAAACTAAGTCTTTTTATACTTGAAGACTGATTTTCACAAAAGTCTTTCAAGTCATAAGTAAGTAAAGCATCTTACCTTGATTTCCCTAATGGATGCCTCCGTGTCAATGGAGATGGAGGTGTCCCCGCTTCCTCTCCGAGAGGAAGTCCCACCCAGAGAGGCCAGCGTGGCTGCGGACAAGCTGGGCATGTTACGAGACCCCTGCAGTGTTATAAGGATCAAAAGTGATTTCAGAAAAAAACAAAATTACGTATGAGTCTGGTATTACAGTGCCCTTACTTAATTCAGTCTCCAAATTGGGAAATCTTCAATGGGCTTAAGGTAAGCAATAAAGACAGGTTCATTTTGAGGTGCCTCATGGATGGTGTGGTATTCCTCTGGATTAACCTTAAGCTCCTCGGCTGGGCCCATCGTAAATGCCTTCACTTCTGCTCTGCAGGATTTAACACACACACTGGATGTGGCACCCAGGGAACTCCCTAAGGGATGTGACTCCAGCCTTGGTGAGCCACTTACTTGTCCTGTCCACTCACTTTATTAAAGTGAGCATCCTTTTTTTTTTTTTTGTCTTTTTTACTGACCGGTAACGGGATCGCAACCCTCGGTGTTACGCCCGCACCTCGCTCAGCCAGTGAGCGGGAACCGG